TCACCTCTTTAAGGAACATGAGAAGCATTTATAATCATGTAGGCTTTCTTGGGTCTTGAAATGGCTCACTTCTTCTGCTTTTGAACTAGAGCTGAAATTTCCCAACTCCCGAAAACATAGTTTAACTAAAATATTTTTCTAAGGTCGAAATATCTGATACTTTCGCGATTTTAGAAACACTCTTGAGCAACTTTTAGGTAGCAGACGATCGTCTCCTCACTCTTCTTCGCTGGTGTAGAATCTGTCAGTATTGGTATAGCACTACCTACTCGAATCCTTAGCTTCATTCGTTCATTAACCTTACATGGAGGTCTGCGTTTTAATCTAAACAAGATCAAAATCATCATTGGCCATTCATTCACTATGGCTGTGCGAAAGTGCGATTCAACGCTTCAGGCAATTGATCGAAAACTTTATCCTCTTTGTAAGACATTTAAGCAGTTTTAGTTTGTGCTCGTAATTTTTTGTCCCCATAAAGTCTTCCTCCTCGCACCATTTAGGAGAAAGTACTTTCTCAAACAAATTTTCAGAATTCAACTGTTGCCTCTCCAAAGTGAGTTCACCAGGCTATCTCATTGCTTCTAGCATTTACCTTCGTGGAGGAGAGGGGAGTAGAATCCTGTAGGGCTGTTTTAGCTTACCAAGCAAGTACCTTCTTGACTTTTTAACTTTGTCTTTGGTCCGCAAATCATCATTCTTCCTCTGCAGACAGAGGCATTTGAACCTACAGTTCTCAAAATAGAATTTAATTGTCCATAATTACCATTTTTCACTGGATAAGCTCAACGTTGTGCTTTCCTCTCATATTCTTCCCCTTAGATCATTTTGAGCAGTCAGAAATTTGGAACTAGTTGATCACTCAAAAGCCGCATTATTTAACTCCCAAATTCACCGTCTGCTTAACACTGGCTTCACGTCTTCAGATCGTCGGAAATCTTGAGCCTCCCATAGAAGAGAGTAGGCTGTTGCCTAAGTTTTCGATTGCAACGCTATCATCTTTGAATACAAATTCTATTTCCTTGTCACATTTAGAGCAGTTCTGCAGATGTCTGTGTGGCAAGACTGGGTGATTGGGCTGGCATCGTTGTTTCCGCAGAACCGGCAAAACAGCTACGCAACGGCGACTGTGATGGAGATATTGCGCTGTCTCCTCTTTTACGCTCTTCGCTTTGAATTTGGGGGATGGCGAGTGTGGATTGACACCCTGGCCATTCTTCACTCCCGCATAGCCTTCGAAGAATTTCGTCGCGCCAACCAGCAGGTAATTTCCCCCTTATAAGGGCGCACCATTTCTGAATGCTTCATTTCAAGAAAAACCAAGTAAGACTAACTACTAATTGTATCTTTCATCATCCTCTTTTT